ATGTTGATAGACTCCTTAGTGTATGATAATACGTGGTTTACAATAAAGAGTGAGGTTATTCACTATCTACTCGTGATTGTGGATTGTCCTCACACCACCCCGCAGTTGCAGAATCTAAAGAGTCCATTGAGTCAAATTTGCAATTATATAGCAAATCATAAAGAGGATTTAGATTGCAACTGGAGCAAAATATGCTGTGAATCACTGGTTTGCTGGGTGGAGATCTATCTCCATTTGGTGTTGTAGCCTCAACAAGCGATTCAGTTTGGGTGGTGACAGTGTTCATGGATACATAGTCTGGTCGTCGTCGGCCCATGAAGATATCAGTATGTTCGTAAAACTTGGTACGACCAGTTGGTTTGCTCAGTGAGTCACTGTAATTCTCATCAGATTTAGTCTCAACAAAGTTAATGAATTCATCATCTGTCCATTGTAGAATAACAAAGTATTTCATTTCAACATGGCGTGTACGGCGTGTGGGTTGTTGTGCATTTGCCATTTTAACAGCACCATGATTATCAGCGAGAATGGGAGTAGGAACGGATTGGTGGATCCTCAATTCAGATAGAATCCATCGAAGATAGAGAGCTGCTTTGCCAGCGTCTGCCATGTTAGTGAACTCAGCTTCCGTGGAGCTTTGTGCTATGGTTGGTTGTAGGCGAGTACGATAATAGATAGCAGCACCTGCCAGCAACATCATCACAATTCCCCCCATTGATCGTCGTTGTAGGCAATCAGAGGCCCAAGTTGTATCACAGGATCCATGTATTTGGAGGGGATTAGGACACTGGTAGAATTTGGTTAGTGTAACTGAATTACAAGTGGCAGGAATAGGGTGTTTAGCATCCGGAAGATCCATACGTGGGTCTGGTCTCCAATACGTAAGACCCTCATATTTAGTGGCCAGGAGATAGAGAAAGAGATGATGAATAGCTCCATAGTGGATCTTAGCCGGGCGATGCGAGTGTTGACTGAGTGTAATGACAGCAACGGAGATATTGATGCGGCAGATGGTGAGAGCATAAATAAGCTCGCCCATGCATTGGCGGAAGTTAAAGCCCATAGATTGTTCCAGTTTCCGGGCTTCGGAGGGGTCAGTAGGGCCTTCAGACAGCTGTATTTGGCGTTGATACTTGGATTCTTCTTTCATGGGAGTAGGTCGTTTCCTCAGTCTAGAGGTATCAGTCCATCCATGATGGTCACAGATGCGTTCAATGTAGCGGGCACAGTGAAGATGATTGAAGTATCGTGTTTGATCCACATGTATGCCATTAAACTTACGGATGGTTCTTCCCAGTATATTGAGAGAGTTAGTCATGCGTTGCTGAATAAGATCTCTAATACTGTCACAGACATGCTCGCTTTTATTAACCTGTGGAATGTTGATAGACTCCTTAGTGTATGATAATACGTGGTTTACAATAAAGAGTGAGGTTATTCACTATCTACTCGTGATTGTGGATTGTCC